TGCAGCGCGGTCATTTTCCACTCCCTTGACCACTGGTCCCAATGTTGTTGCATGTTTGCCCGAACTGTGTCCGCTGACCACCACATCCCTGCTGTCAGACCTGTGCATTCCCAGCAGGCTGTTGGCATCTCCTCCCACAATGATAATAAATCTGCCACCAGCGTCGTCGCACTTCTCCTCTGCCCACTTCATACTTTTCGAAAATGAAACCATTGTTTGTGCACCATCTCTGGCGGTAACTATGGTGCGAAGATTGTGACGTCTCATGCTCTCGTCCGCAGTCTGATCCCCGCCGTTCTACCTTGCAGCTGGGCAGGGGGTCAGTACTGTGCGAGGAAGGCCTTGTCTTTCATCATCTCGTTGGATACCAGGAACGCCCTACCACATGAGTTGGTTCTCCACTGTCCCTTCCTTGCCCCGAACTGCGATGCCGTATGATATCTGCGACTCGTTTTCTTCATCGGCTCTGGTCCGCCCCACTGGTGAGCCCCTGCCAATACAATCACATCCCACTCTCGTAGTGCACTGCTTATTTCTTCCGGTCTTTCTGTGGTCTTCGCCGCCAGCTGATTGAAGAATACCAGCTTCATCAACGCAAATATCGAGAGCACTGCAATCGCCATCCACCTGACATGCCCCCCATAGCTCCCTCTCTGGCCCGTGCGATTGCGTGGCGGTCGTCGTGTGAGAAGAAGTTCAGCAACTCCTGTTTCCGTCGGTTCTCAAAGCGCCTGAGCCTTCAACGCCGACTCCCTAGGAGGAGGAGGAGGAGGAGGAGGAGGAGGAGGAGGAGGAGGATTAAGCTCTACCAGAAAGACACGGTCGACGTTCCCATTCCATTCGCAACGTCCCACGATGTGGTAACTTGCTGCCCCAAATCGGGTTTCAGGGGCCGCCCGTGTGGAGACAAGCTTGACCCAGCTAACCCAGGTCAGCCAGGGCCGACTCTGGCCAGCGAACCAAACATCCGAGAAACCGCGATACGGAAAATCACGATGTCGGTCCCGTTCCTCCCCCTCCTTCTCGAAGCTCGAAGCTTACCGCTGGTCTGTCACGCAGTGACTGGAGCAGTTGCCTGCCCTGGGCGATCGCCCAGGGCAGCACGCAAGCTCATTAGGCAGCTGTTCAATTCGCCGACCCCGTCGGTGTTTGAAAGACTCTGGCGTTCTCGCCTCTTCCACTTCCCGCCGCTCCTAGACGGCACAAAGGGCCCCCAAGGTCGCCCCAAGACGGCCAAAGATCCTCCAAGAGAGCCCAAAAACAGCCCAAGAGGACCCCAAGACAAACCAAAAAGCCTCCAAGACGACCCAAGAGGCCCCCAAGACGGCTCCACGAGCGTGCCCAGACGGGGGACCCGAACGAACATTTTGACCCCTCGCCCCCGAGAAACTCTCAGTAAGCCCGAAGAGGCCTTCAAGACGCCCCCGAGAAGCCCTCAAGAAGCCCCCAAGAAGCCCCCAAGAGGCTCCCAAGAGGCTTCCGAGAGGCCCCTAAATTCCTCCGCAGAGACCCCTGAGAGCCGTCTGGAGTGACCACAAGAAGCATCGCTGACGACTTTGGCCCACGTCGGCGTCGTCGTCGCCGTCGTCGTCGCCGCCGCCGCCGCCGTCGTCGTCGTCGTCGTCGTCGTCGTCGTCGTCGTTGTCGTCGTCGTCGTCGTCGTCGTCGTCGTCGTCGTCGTCGTCGTCGTCGTCGTCGTCGTCGTCGTCGTCGTCGTCGTCGTCGTCGTCGTCGTCGTCGTCGTCGTCGTCGTCGTCGTCGTCGTCGTCGTCGTCGTCGTCGTCGTCGTCGTCGTCGTCGTCGTCGTCGTCGTCGTCGTCGTCGTCGTCGTCGTCGTCTCATCGTCATCGTCGTCATCGTCGTCATCGTCGCCGTCTCCTTTTCAGGGTCGGCGGCACCGGCCGTAAGGCCTTCGACATAGGTTTGAGATAAAGTAAGTTGACTCCTCCTCCTCCTCCTCCACCTCCTCCACCTCCTTCTCCTCCTCCTCCCCCTCCTCCTCCTCATCCTCATCCTCCTTCACTGCTTCCCCTTACAAGAGCTCCTCCCTGCCGCACCCCCAGACGTGTCCGTAGGGCAGGCCAAATACTTCGCCTGAGACTTCTTCGCCACGCATGCTCCCGGAGCGTGAAGTTGGTGACAGCTTCACAGATGGCGGCCGGGTCGCTTTCAAAATGTGCCTCTCGCCATAGCTCCGCGCACAATTCGCCCGAAAAGTTCGCAACAGTTTCACGGAGGGAGGACGGGTCGTTTTCAAAATGTGAGTCTTGCCACAGCGCCGCGCATGTTCATTCTGCAAGTTCGCAACAGGTTGAATGCTAGAGGGCGGTTCCTTTCAAAATGTGGCCCTCGCCTAGGCGCCGCACACGTTCGTCTGAAAGGCTTGCAACAGTTGGAAGGATCCGTATGGTCGAAGTCGAAGGATTGCTGTTTATGGAACGATTTACGATTGTCGGGGCGCTTCGCTTTTTCGCACGATTTAGGATTGTCGGGCGTTCAT